AACATCGACCAGACTACACAGCGCAACAACCCAGAAGACAGAAATCTTCATACTCTGATGACGGAGGCAGTATGACCTCTGAAACGTTGGTTAACATCGACCAGACTACACAGCGCAACAACCCAGAAGACAGAAATCTTCATACTAAGAATCGCCCTGATGACGGAGGCAGTATGACCTCTGAAACGTTGGTTAACATCGACCAGACTACACAGCGCAACAACCCAGAAGACAGAAATCTTCATACTAAGAATCGCCCTGATGACGGAGGCAGTATGACCTCTGAAACGTTCGTAAACATCGACCAGACTACACAGCGCAACAACCCAGAAGACAGAAATCTTCATGAATTTTAATGTTATCCTCCATATTTCACCCAAGCTTTGTTCCAAATGACTTCTTTCTGTCATGTTTTTAGTCTTATCTCCTCTTTTCTTATCTTTGCTTAATACCCTCCTGGATATAATCTCTTGAGCAATAGCAGCTGAAGTGTGCAAATTATGAATCTCCTTATAATGCAGCTTTCTCTGTCCTCGTATTACTTCCTCTCTCCCTCTTTGGTCCAGATATTCGCTTCAGCACTTTGTCCTCAACCATCCTCAATTTATGTCCTTCATTTAGGATTGGGAACCGAGTTTTACGCTTACACAAAACAACAGGAACATCGCGTATTTTGTGTTTTAATCTTTACATTTTCAGATAGGAGACGGAAGGTAAAGATTATGAACTGCATCGTAGCAAGCACTCGCGAATTTAACCTGTTCTTTGGTTTCTTTGTGAGTCAGTTTGATTTTGATTTGCATTACATTATCGTATCTTTTGTTTCTGCAAGATCGCGAGCAGTCTTGCAGGCAATCTTGACCCGCATACCTACGGGTACTTCAGATAGTTTGTTTGTTAAGTACTTTACTTGTTCGATTGTAGGCAACTTTGTCAACTATTTAATTACGTAGTGACGTAGCAAGATGGCAAGGTTAGTCTGTTTGCGTCGTATATTCTTTGTCTTTCAAATTGTGGGCGAGTTGGGTCCAAGAAGTGACCCGCCTGAGCTTCGACGTAGACGTAGACGTAGACCGGCGCCCGAGTGTTAATTGATGTCTTGTACACAGAAAGTGGAGAGGAACGCCTTTCACCTCATAGCTGATAGAACACACCCTCGAAACCTCAATTGCATTAAATTCCTACTTCTTCTTCTGGTCACGAATTTGGGCCAATAAATGACCTGTTTCAGCTCAGCGTTGTAACTGCGCAGTACAGGATCGGCAGTATTTTCATTACCGCGGGCCGCATTGGGTGTTCACATCTTTGTCGAGAGCCACAGAAGAAAGTCGTATTCCTTTGGTTTGAACAACGGAATAATGTATTTTTCACAATAACGCGATTTTAAAGTCTTGGGCTCACATTTACACCGCAGTAATTTTTTTCGCTATTGTTTGCATTTACGCGTAGATAATATGTGTGTAAGTTCCTCAGTACCAGAAAATGTATGGTCATGTCGTATTGGCTAATTCACAAACCATTTGGCCGATCTCTGGTCTTGCAGTCTAATGTCCATCAGGTCCTTGTCTTATGACGGGTCTGTAGTCAAGAAGTTATTTTGGGTGTTTAATGGATTCATCTTTCCAACCTTTCACAATGTCCTGAGTAATGTCGAGTTGGAGTTTGAGACTGAATAATAGTCTTCTGCGACGTTGTGACCTGTAGTCTGGTAGATGTTTACAGACGTCTGATTCAAGAAGTCACACCACGTGTCCAAATAGGATTTGGGAAACATCTGTAACAGACATATCGGCTGTAACCACGCCGTTAGGTTCTATAAGTATTTGTAATTATTTGCTATATACTGAAGGAAAACAGGTATCATGAAGATATTCATCCATGTCACCTCAGTGAGAGGTGAAACCTCTTCTCCGTGATAAATGATCGCGTGATATAAGTCCCCTTTCACCACCAGATTGACATCTCTAACACCCTAGAAGATGGCTGTCTTCTGGGTTGTTGCGCCGTGCAGCCTCCATTATCAGGGCGATGAACTCATCGCCCTGATGATGGAGGCAGCAAGGACATCTGAAACGTTGGTAAACTTGTACCCGACTACACGGCGCTACAACCCAGAAGACAGGCATCTTCGGACTCATGGCCGTGAAAACCTCAAATCCTACTACAGCTGTGCCACGAGCTGCTGGAGAATCTAAAAATGTGCATTTCTTTCTTTATTTCTTCATATTTTTCTGTTTTTATTTTACTCCTTATTTATTTTTCTGTGCTTTCAATACTTAATTAGAGTACTGTAATCTGTTCTGACTCAAAATTAGTTTTGAGATAATGTACCTTCTGGACATGTAGTATAATTTCTTCGTGGGATCAGACCTCCGCAAGGTATCTATCGTTGCAGGATAAAACAATGATAGGCTTTTTTAAGACCCGGGGTTTACATTTTAAATCCGCTTTGGGTTTCTGTTGTCAGTCACATGACGTGATGACTTTTATTCATAATGCTTTTTATCGACTCTTAATGGCGGATGTCGCAATTGGGAAACAGAATTTAATGTTTTGCTTGTAGTCGTGCTGGGACAACAGTTGAATGTTTACCCACCGGATTCAAAATTCACAATCATCTTAGCAACAATCATCGAATCGTTTTGAACAACAAAAATAAATTATGGTTTTATTTGTATTGCAATAAAGTTTCAAATTATTGTTAGGCAAGGAAAATTATCATATACGGTATTTTCTGTGATACTTGGAAATTAATTTTAAAATAATTAACTGCTTACGCCATGCGTTCTTTTATTGTTTCATCACTTCAACGAAATAGTTCTGAAAGATTAGGCTGTATAAAAGCACGTAATTAAATATTTCTATCACTTGATACTTTAATTTGGTTCGTTGTCTGTTTATCACTCTTAAAGATTTCCGTTTATCTCCTTTGTATTTTTAGGAACGAGATTCGCATTGCAAAATAGCCTAATGCATTAGGGGAAATCGTATTTTAGAACAGGCGCATGTGTTTTGTGAGAAATT